ATGATATTTATTTAAATCCAGTTACCCTTCGTATCTAAAATGCTACTTTAAACTATTAATTAGGGGAAGCTAAGCTTTCCTAACATGCCCATTGTTTCCAATGGGCAGCGGTGAATTGACTCAACCCGGTTTTCAATCCCGTTGACAAGTCGAATAGATGATGAAGCGATGTCTAAATCGTTTTCAACTCTGGGAGAGGCAAAATATCACTTCCTAAGTCCTAGTCTCTTGTGTGCCAACCCACAATTGTCGTGGTTTTACATGTTTTGATTAGGCTCATTGAAGATGTCTCATCTTTGCTTCCGATTGTTCCTTTCTCGTCCGCTGGCTTAGTTATTACGAAAGCATAATCTTTCATTGTGGGAAAATTCATGACCACTTAAGCGAAGGTGAAGCTGATAACGGCTATTTTTTCGTATTTATAGGCTTAGTCTCGAGGTTAAAAATGGCCTAAGTTTATTCATATCTGTCCGAGGTTATCTCTGCAATCGAGCCAAGAAGGTATTCTGCGAGTAGCGAGTTCCAGCTCTCTTAATCTTCATTGGGCCGGTTAAAATTGGCCTTTTGATCTTCTAGGTCTTCTTCCATTTCGAGTGAAAGTGTTGGGTGAAGAGATTCGAAACACTTTCACTCGAAATGGAAGTGAGCTCAACAATGAGGAAACAAGAGATTCCTCGAAACCCAACTTTTGTTCGCATTTATTTAAACTGTCAGCATTTGCTGTCAGGAGGTGAAGTAAAAGGTTGAAACGAGGAGAGGGGATAAATGTATATATATTTTATGTACAATCACATGGTAACAGCACCTCTTGTATGCCCACTTCTTCCCGTGAGACCTGTCGAAATTCGGCCGAGGGTGACTCAAGGAGAAGGCGGTGGAGAGGTGTGAGGAAGCCGTGGTCTTGGCAAAAGACAAATGTGCCCAGCAAGTGGAGTTAAACAAGGCGAGCTGTACACAAATGACCGGAAATCCGTCATTACTGGAGCCCAGAGTGTGGGGCTGGTGCCTCTGAAGCCGACATTCTGAGGTTCACTTTCATACAAACAGTGTTCGTGCCTTTTGATGTGCATTGGTAGTGTGCGTCGTGGAGGTCGGCAACCGAGGAGTTCACAGCTCGTGTTTCGCCTCATGCGTCCTTCGGTGCGCCCTCATGTTGGACCGGTCTGCAAAATGTTTCCCACAGCCCGGACAGGAGAACGGCTTCTCGCCGGTGTGCACACGATGATGGCTCTCCAACAGCCAAAGGCGAGAGAATCGTTTCCCGCAATCGGAGCATTGGAATGGCATTGTGTGTGTGGCCTCATGAAGCCTATAGGGCACGAGAACGTGAAGCAAATCAGAAAATTAGGCAGGGACCACAAAGCAGTACTATTCGCCCATGTTTAAAATATGGGAAAAAAAAGTATTTCCTTCAAACCCTCCAGCGATGTTTGCCTAACATTGGATTTGACATTTCGTTTACTCAAAACAGGAGGTCGTCGAGATTGTAGACAATAGTCAACCAATCCGTTGGCGCTACCATCTCGTCAACTTTCGCTTCCTGCAGTAGTCAGTGAGCTGAAAGTTTGACTCCCTCTCGGCATCCTCAGCACGCGATGTAGAGTTCGGAGGATGGCATATTGTGCCACACGCACACATACACACCGCGGACGTCTGCCAAGAATATTTCGAAACCCGCTGGCTTAGTTATTACGAAAGCATAATCTTAAATGGATATTTGACAAACCGGATATTTTGGCTACCAACGGCTTCCTTATGTGAGGGGACGAGCGGAGGGGTCGGAGGTACAGCTTCGCTCGCCGTCTTGACATAGAGATAGATAGATAGATAGAGAGAGAGAAAGAGAGAAAAAAAAAGTACAGAGAGAAAAGCCGTTGAGGTTGACTTTAGGGTTTGGGTTTGGTTCCTTTGCAGGCGAGGCTTGTGCGAATGTCCTCGACGCTCTTACCTTGTGGAAGACTTCGAGGCGTATAGCTTACCGCAATACCGACAGGCATATCGCTCTCGTAGTCGTGTGCTTTCTCTCTCTTTGTTCACCCTCGACTTGGAGACTGTAGAACGGTCCAGTCGAGACCCGTGCTCCTTGACACCGGGGCGCTGGTGTTGGGACTTTGTAAGATGAGACAAGTCCAGAGGCCTGTCAGCTCTGCCGGCAGACGAGCAAACCAGTTTGACACGAGGCTCATTCGTCGGCGACGACAGCCTCAATGTATCCGTGGTCTCAGCAATTGAAGCCGCTTTTTCCAACATCAACCACAACTGCTCCACTCCCTCGGCAGCAGCCAAACTGGGAGTCGAGCCGGCCGTCGGCCATTGGCCAGGCGTCAATGGGAAATTTGCCGTCACTGCTTTCTCCTCCTCCTCAGCATCATCAGCATCGTCATCATTATCATTATCATTGGCATCCTTCTTCTTCTTTTTGGGCAGGTCGTTGGGGCTTTCGGCCAGCAGGTTTGCTATGCTGAAAGAAGACTCGAACTTGGGCAATTTGCTGGTCGGTTGTTCTACCGAATAGCCTCGGCTATGCGATGTTGACAGAGAAAGGGAGAATAGGGTGTGGAAAAGGGAGCCGGTTGAGGAAGAAGAGAATGAGGAGAAATAGGAGGAGGAGGAGGAGGAGGAGGAGGAGGAGGAAAGAGAGGATAAACGGGGAGGAACAGAGGGAGGAGGGGGAGGAGGGGGAGGAGGAGGAGGAGACGAGGGGGGATAATGCTCAGCGTAATTGTGGATAGGCCCCGGCGGCAGGCGGTTGGTGATTTGATCTGCGTCCGGTAGGG